AGACACAACATTGTGGCGTATACTTGTCGTATGGTTTTGTAATGAAACCCAGTATTATCCGCACAAACACAAATTTGTCATGGATGTTTGCAAAAATAACGGGTTTCCTCTTTATTTTCCTTTTTGCTCCCTTGGATTGACAGCTGCTGGCGCTGCAGCTGTTTTTTTTCCAATTCTTTCCCCAGCGAAAATGTGCAAAAATTTCAGTTGAAGTTTATTGGTGTAATCGTGTGGTAGTCAATTGTCAAACAGTCGGTCAACATTCGTGGCGGTCCGTTGGCCTGTGCAGGATTTTGTACGTGCGAATTTCTTGTTAGAGACACGCAATGTTTGTGCTTGGTTGTATGTTTACAAAACGTGTGTAACCTTTTTTTAACTTTTTTTTTTGGTTGCCTCTGACCAGCCTAACCCCGTTCGTGTCGATTTTGTTTACATTGGAAAAGCCGTCGGGTTTTAATACTGCTGATGTGGTTGGTTTGGTGTTAATGCTCAAATACAAGAGTGACCACAAAAAGTGGAAATAAAAAAATAATTAGTCAAAACAAACAGAGTCTAATGAAAGACAAATACACGGAATACCTCGCGTTTCAATGACTAAAATTTGGAAGCCTTTAAAATGTTTCAGCAGACTCAATTTTCACTCCACGAATTCTGGGAAAAATCTTTAAAATCACAATATTTTCTTGTTGTAATTCTTTGGCCGTTTTCATTGGAACTGCCGTCTAAAAATATAACCCTTTTTTAGTTGATGTTTTTGTTGGCATTTTATTTTTAGTTTTGTTGTCATTTCTTTTTATCACAACTTTCAACCCCTCTTTTTTCTCGCAAAACAAAATCTCAGCTCTAAGAGTTTATCTCGGCACTTTGCTCTTATTTCATAACAAGCATCTCTTATTCCATATCCAATGGCCCTCTTTACTCTTCCTTTGGATTAGAGTTGGCGCTTTTTTCAGTTGTTTTTGTTTTTCTTCTCATTCTACAAAAGGATGCTGACTTCGTAGCACAGATGCTAGGCATGGCATGCTGTGGTATGTGGCATGGTGTTTTCTTCTTGTTGTTAGCTTCACTATTAATGATAACGACGCCGCAACAGCAGCAGCAGCCGAGACTTCGCTTTGCTACTGTATCATCTGTGTGTCAGAATTTTTATTGTACACAAAACTCTACCGCTTCTTTTGTACGTTTGCGTGGGCAACTGCGTCATTAGTGGTCTAGTCTCTGTAGACATTTAACGTAATCGCACATTTTGTCGCATTGTTTGTCGGCCACTCCTGCCAGCCGAAGAAAGACACCACACCAATGCCACAGCACAACAGCACTTCAAAATGCCGTATCGCGCTCAACACTCTCAAGACTAATTAACGGGAAAAAAGAGTGCTGCCCCCTCGAGGAGCATGTATTTATTGCAAACAATAAAAAAATGTATTTAAGAAAATTTGAAAAAAAAAAAACTCCCTTTGCCCTACAAACGAGAGGCAATCAAAAGCTGGATAATTTGTAACGTTTACTCTGGAGAAATAAAGATTAATTAGAGGCAAAAAAATCATTGTGTATGTGTTGGTTATGTGTACAAGAATTCTTGAAAATTTGGTGGAAAAAAGGAAGAAATGTTATACCCAACGCATACCATCTCAAGGCTGCCGGGCGAAAGAAAAAACTTTGCGTAAAGACTGCGAGTGTCCGTGTGTGTGTGAGTGTGAGTGCGAGTTACCAAATAACTTGACAAGAATTAATGATGTCTAAAGATTTGCTCAAGCTTTTGACATTGCTGTGATGTTTGAACTTTGATTGATTAATTCCAAATGCAAAGAAAAGTCAAATGTTTCCTCCTTTATATGAATCGCCGAAGATAAAATTTTCTGAGTCACTTTGTAAACATAAAATTGTTATTTTGCTAATAAAATGTGTCAAATTTAGCCGAACTTTAATATAAAAAAACAAACTTTGTGCAATAATAATACCGTTTTTATCCAAGTTAACTATTATGTGAACTTTGTGTATATACTGAAATGTAGAGGCTCTGGTCCTTTGGTTCAAATTACTTTGGATTTTTTCTTATGGATTAAACAATCAAAGGACCTGAGAAATGCTTTTTGTTGAAAGGAAGATATCTCAGTAGTCTATAAATATTAATATTTTCTATTAATATCTCTATCGTCAAAACAGCTTTCAACGGAATGAAATACTCCAACATAAAAGGAAAACCTTTCCTTAAGAGAGATTTATTGTCAAAGGCTGAAAAGTCTTTACTTTGCGAAATAAACTTGGAAGCACGTTAGAAATATCTGTTGGCAATGATCCTCGAATTCCATATTATTTACGAAGTCTAGATTCTAGTCCTGAGGTTCCCTGAAAAATATTCTATAAAAATCCACAATAATATCCTTGATGGTCCTTGAAAGAAATACTTCAGGTTTCACGATCCTTGAAAACTTATTCACCAAAAACGTACAGTAATAGGAAGAAATAAGAAAGAGAAATATCTTCTATAGAAAAAATACTATTGGTACTGGAATTTCACTAAATATTTTCCAGACCCTCTTAGCTGAAAAAAAAAATCTTTGACATCTTTCTATTCCATAAAAGTGTTCTTTAATCATTTTCCTTTGATCGTTTTCGCATAATAAAGAACTCTTCTTAAAGGATCTAAGGAATCATCTGTAACATATTTCTTGGAGACCTTCTCAACTCAACCCAAAAACTTTTTGAGCTCTTAGAACTTTTCCTACAAAAAGAATTTTTTTTTTAATTTTCTCAAAACCAAAGAAATTTTTCGTAGCGATGAGAATTTGAGAATTAATTCTAAAACAAATAAAACTTTCAAGGATCTTACTATCCTATAAGATGGAAACATTGTCATATATTTCCTACAGAAAAAAACATTACCCAAGAGAATCGTGAATAACATTTCTTGATAGGTGAGCTCAGCCATGTGGCTACAGAGGGCACGGCCAAGACGTGCCTCATCGAAATAACAGTTTTAGACCCTAGGTCTCTTTAGACCAAATTTGTTTCAAGACATTTGGAGTCGATCTAGGAATGTGTATCCGATTTGGAGCCAACTTGGTAGATCGAGGTGGGAGATGGGCAATATCGGTTCACTCCTTCTGGTACCTCACCCACAAATGGTCGAAATTTTCAATGAAAATACTTTACTACACAGAACGAAAAAGTCTCCAACTTTGCGAATCCTAATATTTGCATCAGTGCTAGGTCAGGTGCGAAAATGGAAAATGTCGGTCCACTCCATCAAGTACCACCGCAATGGGTCCAAATTTTGAATAATTTCAACTCTTATAAAATATGATGTAAGGGTCCAATTGTCTTCAAATTACACACATCACTATATTTGTATTAATCCAAGGTCTGGTGTTAAGATGGAATATATCGATATACTCCTTTGGTACCTTACCCGCAAAGTGCGACCGTTTTAAAGAACCAAAACGATTATAAAATCCAAAATAAGCATCCCGTTCTCTTCATATTTCACACATCCCTTTATTTCTACTAATACAACATCTGCTGTGAAGATGGGATATATCGGTCTACTCCTTCTGGTGCCTACCCCACAAAGGATCCCAATTTTGAATATCCATGAAACTCATAAAACTCGAAATTAATTTCCGATTCCATTCCAGACTTAGTAAATCTCAATACTTCCGTCAACACAAGATCTGTTATAAAGATCTCTTCTGTTACCTCCCCCACATAGGGTTCAATATTTTGAAAGAAAGCGAGATAAGCTTCAAAGAGATAAGCATCTTCAAGTTTCTCACATAGAAACAGTTTTACTAACACAAGATCTGTTGTGAAGATGATATATATCTGCGAACCCCTTCTAGTACCTAACCCACAAAGGATCACAATTTTAAATACTTTTATATGTTATAACTTGGAAACAAGTCAGCGATTCTATACAACATGCTATATCTAAATATTTCTCTCATCCAGAAACCTGAGATGAATATGGAATTTATGATTTCGCATGAAATTGGACATAACTGTTGGATTTTCTTCTAATTTTGCCCATACCAATATTTTTATCCGTATTAGATGAAGTATGAAAATCGAATACTTCGGTGACCATATCTGGTACCTCACGTGAATTTTAACATTTTCAAAAAAATTGTCACATATGTCATGTAATATGAAGGAAGTGGACGATAGAAACTTTGTACGTCGCAATATCAATATCATATTTATTTAGGTCCGATACAAAATGGACAATATTGGCCCATCACTTCGGAACCTTCTCTATAGAGGGTCAAACATTTCAATAATCGTAACAGAAATCAAAATTCATTTAAATAATCGAACATTGACTGAGGGTATGCATCTATCGGCAAAACCAACTGATATTTCTTAAATTGTTTAATTATTTTTTCACAATCCTAAAGTTTTCCCCTTTGCCTAATTAAGTAATTAAAAAACAAACTAAAACAATCATATGCACCCTCCATTATCCTTGAGCCAACAATAGACATCGTAAATAGTTTTCCCACCAATTTTATGCTTCTCCGAAACGATCTGTAAACTTTAGCGGTTCAAGTTTCTCCTTCAGTCATGACAACTATCGAAAATAAAAAAAGTTCATTAACAATTCTTGTCTTTCAATTTTTGCAAAAGTTTCCTTATCATCATAAATCTCTACATTTCGAAATACAAGCTGATTGCAAGAACTGGAGGAGGTTGTCGTTGCTGTTGCTGCTGTTGTTGTTTTTCTTGTTTCCTTTGTTATATTCTTAGGCGCAGAAATGTGTAGAATGTAAAACAATCTTTGCACATAACTCGTAACTATGATTAATCCCCCATCTCCATGCATTGCATCCGGATGAGTTGGGTCAAGGCTACAGATTCCATTTGTCTTGTGCAGCAGCAGTAGTCATAAATAAAAAAAAGAAACAAGAAAAGGATGGGTGGGGGTGGGAAGGGGAAGGGAGGTGGGAATTTATGTACACAACTACGCTTGCTAAAAATATTACTCAATTAATTAATGACACAGAAAGGGGGGCCTCACTCCCTCGCCTCCGACACATCAAATGTGTCACCAACGAAAATTTGCAACCATTAGCTGGAACTCACACACACACACGCCCTCTCTCTGATACTCAAATGCTCACGCAAACAAATGATTTCTGAGTAAATTAAAAGAACATTATTCTGGCGGTGTTAAAAAAACAACAACAGCGAATATTCACCACCTTGAAATACTGAAATAAAGAAAGGAAAACATATTCCATCTTTCACTGACATTTATTTGCTTTTATTTCTGTATTTTTGCAAAAAGCGAAAAATGTACAATTTCCAGCCTAGTTTCGCTCGTTATTCACCGACTCAAAAGACTTATGCTGCTCGCCCGGCACATTAGGGCCCAGTAGAAACCGACTCAAGGTGAAATATATCTTCTACTTAAAGGAAATGAAAAAGAAACACAAAAAGCCATATTGGCAAAATCTATATGTGTATGTATGTGTGCAATGTGTAATGTGTACGTGTACGTGTGCTTGTGATTGTAATGTGAAAGCACATTAATGGATGATACTCTCCGAAGACGCAATGAATACGCAACGTCGTATAACGCAAACAAAACACAACAAAACTATGTGCCCCACTTGAATCTCCGCCATTTCTCTTCAAGCGAATCATCAAGAGATAGCAATAGCATCCTAAAAAAAAAGAAACAAGAAGAACGAACGAGAGCAGATAACTAATAGCGAAATACTGCAAGCCGGAGAAGAAAGGGGAAATCAACTGAAAGCGGTGTGCGGAATTTATTTGTCACCAAAAGGTCTAAGCCAGGCAATGTTGACGGAAATAAGCCCCCCAGCTTAAGGGGTTATAGCCACAATAACCCCACCACCGCCCACACCAACTCACACAAATAAGAATAAGAATAACAATACGACGAAGAAGAAAAATTCTTTGATGACACCTAAAGCTCAATGTAGAAACACACAAAAAGCAATATTTTATGACCCAATTACCAATTTTAATACGAATACTAATAATTACAAGAAAAACACAAAATAATTATAACAACAACTGAAAAGAAAAAAACGTAACAAAAAAAAAAACCAAAACAAACAAATAATTAATATCAAAAATGCCTTTCGGCCGTAAATCACCATTCGAGGCCCTGGCCCTGCCAGGCGTCATTTTAGCCTATAAATATAGTCAATTTCGTCAGAGACGTCGAGAAGCTGCCAGCCGAAGGGTTACGGAGCGAGAGCTGTCAGCATTGCATCATAAAATCGTGAGTACAAGTTTATAAATTTTTAATTATAAGCAAATATATTGAAAATACTTGAGGGGACATGGTGGCGTATGATTATTTTGTTTGTTTGTAGCCAATACGTATACGCATGGTTGTACCACAAAGGAAACGATCTAACATTGCAAAAATGTTTCAAAGGTCTACACTGGATATTTTCCCTACGTTTCGGTGTCTTCTGATTTATAGATCCTAGGGGGCACTGTATCAATTTCGTTTATACGCTGTCAAAGTATCTAAAATCTGAGAAGGATTACTTTCTGCGACTATTTTTATCTTGACAATATCTCTCTAAAATTCGATTTGGTATTAGGTCCACAAGAGACGAAATTAAAATACCAACATTTAACGAAATTAAATCGAAATCCGACCTAAAATTTGAAAACACCTGGTTTTACTCTTGTAATCCATTACGCTCCTCTGTTCGAACAGTAAAAACACCATTTTTCAAAAAAGTATATTTATGAAAAGGGTACATTTTTAAACAAATTTCTATGTAGGTTGTAAAAGTCATCTATTAGTAATTAAAAAAATACTCCCCTAAAAATATCACCCTCCCCCCTCGATAATAGCGGTACATTTTTGAAACCCATATAACAACAAATAATAAATGAAACAAGTAAGGATGAGGAATTATTGCCAATATATGTAACCGTTATACTAAATATAAAAAACATGATTTGCATGCACAAGCGTGACTTTCCATTTGTGTAAACTTGACTGTTCGAAATTTCGAACACTAGTTTGTGGAAAAACGAAAAATCGAAAAATTCTTTTGAGTAAATTTTTAACATCAGTGGGCTCAAATTAACCTAAAAAGGAAATTTTTCAAAAACAAAAATAAAAATTAATATCGGCTAACAGGGACTATACCAAAAAGTGACCGATATGACCCATTTTTCTCAAATACTCTTCAAATAATCCAAACCTCTCTCTATAAATATTCAAGTTTCTACATTATATTGTGAGATATACCTCAAAATATTGTCCTTATGCATATACGGTCATAAGGTATTTATTTTTGCCTAAAAGCTTTAAACTCCCATGGGATACTGATCTGCAAACTCAGTGTTCTTAAAATTCCCAGTCTGGCTATTATACATAGTGTAAGAAATTTTCAAGCAAAATTGAAAAAAGGGCTCAATTTGTCAAAAAAAAAAAGATTTTTTTAATTAAACAAAGTTGATGATATTTTTCTATGATACATGTTATGTATTCAAATTTCTTTTGTTCAGAGACTCATATTGAAATTGGATGTAGAATATTTCTTTCCTTGACACCTTCCCTAAATATCGAAAATTAAGGGAGATTTTGACTTGGAATGAAAAAGTGTTGAAATAGCAAAAAAACATAAACACATTATTTTCAATAGGAATACATAAGTTTCGAATACAATTTTCTTAAAAATTATAAAGCCTACATATATGGTTTATTTTGAGATTTATAATAAAATATGGTGTTGAATATATCATCTTTTGACACTTTTTGGATGAAACGAAATTTTACATTATTTTCATACACCAACTCGAAAATATTGAGGAAAAATTTATTAAAAAATATCAGGAAATTCTTTCGCGTTTTCGAACAAAAATTTCCTTGATATATAATGGAACTAGAGGAACATCATTGTCTCTGACGTCATCCTTCTAAAATGATGCCTTGTCGGCGAAATTTACATATAATAAAGTACTGCTTTAATATTTATTAATTCCTGACATTTAGGTAAGATGTAGGCTTTCGGTGTCTTCTGAGACCTATGGTAGTATTTTATGACCAACAACTTCGTATAATATTTTGACCTGCTACGAGAGCTCTTAAAGGTAGTTTCTGCCATTTTCTGGAAAAAGAGCCAAAAATACCCATTTGATGACTCTCTAGGGGATTGAAATTCTTGATCAAAATAAATCTCGTATTGTTATCTATAACATTGATGAAAACCCCATACAACTGAAATGTAAAGAACGTAAGGAATTCGGAAGCCTACTCTTGCTGAACGTAGGTGTTGTCTATGGTGCTATTTTGTTTAATATTATGCAATAATTGGTTAGATGTTTTCTCGTGGAAATCCAAAGGCGTATCAGTAATGCCAACAAGTATACGCCACATTTTCTTTCGATATCACTATCTTTTTTCGAAATTTTTTTTTTTTTTTCAAAAAATCCAAAGTTCCCAATCTTCCCTGAATGTTGTATCAGATATTCTTTTGTACATGTCATTCCCCATAAATCTGTATTTTCGCTTGTCTTTTACAAGCAAAAGTAGCCTCAGCTACTCGTAAGAAACCTTCTTTTAATTGAATCAAATGTTATTATCAATTTAGCTCTTTGTTGGCAATTTTGTTAAATATTTAAATTTCATTAATGTTCCAGGCATGACAAAGAACGAATATTCAAGCGTGAGCCGTTTCGCCATTAGTTCATGCTTTGATTCACTGCCACTTTCACGGACCCACCAGGCAGCACAGTGTTTTAAATTAATAAAAAAAAAGTGCAAAAAAACTAATCCATAAATCAAGTATGCCCATACAAGTTAAAAATTGGCCTAAAAATTACTCAATTTTTAATGCTTAAGGAAAAAAAGGTTTCTTTTTAATGTAAGATATTGGAAATTTTAAAATTTTTAGAATAGACACTAGGCTCTAAAAATATAAAATATAAATTGAAAATCTTTTCAAAGCCATTACTTCTGAAAAATTGAGTAATTTTTTGATATTGGAACCTAAGATTTTAAAAGTTATATCAGGGTCTGTAAAACTATTATTATTATTATTATTATTATTATTATTATTATTATTATTATTATTATTATTATTATTATTATTATTATTATTATTATTATTATTATTATTATTATTATTATTATTATTATTATTATTATTATTATTATTATTATTATTTTTATTATTATTATTATTATTATTATTATTATTATTATTATTATTATTATTATTATTATTATTATTATTATTATTATTATATTATTATTATTATTATTATTATTATTATTATTATTATTATTATTATTATTATTATTATTATTATTATTATTATTATTATTATTATTATTATTATTATTATTATTAATATTATTATTATTATTATTATTATTCATTTATTTATTTTTTAAATGCTTTCATATGTTTTTCTTTTAATATTTTATATGCAATGTATATCACACCACAGATTCCCAATTTATAGCCAAACTAATGCATTTTGTACCCACTGTTCCCACTTGTTTCCTGTAATTGTTGTTGTCATTGGGCTGTTGTGGTTTGAACCTCTTAAAAATTAAATTTCCTTTTGCGATTATCCAAACACTTTCACTGAAACCACACACATACAGACAAACATACACATGTTCATACAAATCGACACAAAAAACGTGCACACACATCTTTCTCTCTTTGCCAGGAACTTAGACATTTATTGACCTTTGTCTTACAACAGTTACACTGACGACAGTCGGTAACCAACCAAGCACTGGAACATCTTAACCACTTCAAAAACACTAGAACCTATCATATATATGTATGTATGTGTGTAGATGTGTGAGGTTGGCCAACTAACAATTATGTTACCTGTAAACAAGCCTTCTCACTTATACTGGTCCTCTTGTTGTTATCATACCCAACCAACCAGCCAGCCAGCTAGCTAGTGTGCCATCCAACAGCATCACCATCAACGTCATCTTCAGCCATACAAGTCCGTGTAGGGCGTTTGTTCTTTGGCTTTATTGTCGGCTCTTTGGGTGGCCTTTTTATGTGTGAACCGAGAATCCAAACAGAAAAAAGGACATCTTGGTGACTATGCCCGCCTTTGTCACTTTTCATCCAGATGATAGTAAATATTTTGCTGTTGTTGTTGTTGTCATAGTTGTTGCTGGTGTTGTTGTGCATGTTCAATGCTTTTGTTTTAGAGGATGTTTTTGTTCTTGCCGTTTTGTAGATTAAATGATGCTTATCTGTTTTATTTATGGTTTTATCGTTGCTTGTAGGTGGTAATGATGATAGCCGGGTATGAATGGTATGGTCATGCCATGCTAGACGAACAGGATGTCAGTCAGTGTCGATGTTGAAGGGGCTGCGAGGGTTGGGGGGGTTATAACCTTTTGGCGACCAAGGTACCCGGCTAAGAGAAATAAAATTCAATTTATCTGTATGTCGACAGTTTTAAATTGAATTGTTTAGCATTGCCTTTTAAGTTTAGTTTCCATTTTTTCCTTCTTTCGAAACGAAATCAGTGGTGCGAAAAGGAAATGAAATTAAGCGGAATGGGGAGGAAATCATTTTTACATTAGCAAAAAAGAAAAAAAGACAATGATGCCTAGTTGATTATATTATAAAGTTATTGAAAGACAAATGTATCCATTCCAAAAATTATGATATTTGAAAATACTTTTGGCAAAAATTGATGTAAACATAAATTCATATTTTGCTAAGTCGACATAATTCGAAAATATCCTTAAGTAGGGAAGAAAGGAAAGCAAACATTTATACCCTGACCACAATTGTGTGTGCTACTATTTGGAAGCTGTCCAAGAAATTTGTATTTCTAAGAAGAAATATTCATTTAGAATATACAAATATTTGCATTAAAAATATCTTAAAGAAGAAGAGGATATTCGAATGGGAATAAATGGATGTGTGAATATTTTCCCCCGGCTTATAAAGTAATAAATTAAGCATTAGAAAAATAAATTGATGTAAATTGATTAATATATTTTCAATGGAATTATGAAATTTCAGTTCAGTGTAGATACAAGGGACAATGAGGGCACAAAAGTTTCTGCCATCACCGAGCATTTTAAAAAGGCGTTGGATAGGTTCTAAGATACATAGTCCCTTTTTATTATCAATGGCTGGAGCAAAGTTAATGACATTTTGGTCTGAAAATGTAAATTTGTGCTGAAATGAAAAATATTAAAAAATACTACAAAATGTGACCAATAGTGCATACTTTTAGGCGTCAAAGTGCTACCTAACA